AGGTAATTTAGATTCAATGCCATCCCCATTACGCTACCAATGACTTTCTTCACAGAATTGGAAAAAACTGCTTTAAAGTACATATGGAACCAAAAAAGCCCAAGACAACCTTAAGCCAAAAGAACAAAGCTGGAAGCATCACACTACCTGACTTCAAACTATACTACAAGGCTACAGTAAACAAAACACCATGGTACTGGTACCAAAACAGAGATATGGACCAATGGAAAGGAACAGAGCCCTCAGAAATAATACCACACGTCTACAGCCATCTGATCTTTGACAAACCTGCCAAAACAAGAAATGGGGAAAGGATTCCCTATTTAATAAATGGTGCTGGGAAAATTGGCTAGCCATAAGTAGAAAGCTAAAACTGGATCCTTTCCTTACTCCTTATATGAAAATTAATTCACGATGGATTAGAGACTTAAATGTTAGACTAAAAACCATAAAAACCCAAAAGAAAACCTAGGGAATACCATTCAGGACATAGGCATGGGCAAGGACTTCATGTCTAAAACACCAAAAGCAACGGCAACAAAAGCCAAAATTGACAAATGGGATCTAATTAAACTGAAGAGCTTCTGCACAGTAAAAGAAACTACCATCAGAGTGAACAGGCAACCTACAAAATAGGAGAAAATTTTTGCAATCTACTCATCTGACAAAGGGCTAACATCCAGAACCTATAAAGAACTCAAACAAATTTACAAGAAAAAAGCAAACAACCCCATCAAAAAGTGGGCAAAGGATATGAACAGACACTTCCCATAAGATATTCATACAGCCAACAGACACATGAAAAAACGCTCATCATCACTCGCCATCAGAGAAATGCAAATCAAAACCACAATGAGATACCATCTCACACCAGTTACAATGGCAGTCATTAGAAAATCAGGAAACAACAGGTACTGGAGAGGATGTGGAGAAATAGGGACACTTTTACACTGTAGGTGGGACTGTAAACTAGTTCAACCATTGTGGAAAACAGTGTGGCGATTCCTCAAGGATCTAGAACTAGAAATGCCATTTGACCCAGCCATCCCATTACTGGGGATATACCCAAAGGATTATAAATCATGCTGCTATAAAGATACATGCATGCATATGTTCATTGCGGCACTATTCACAATAGCAAAGACTTGGAATCAACCCAAATGTCCATCAGTCACAGACTGGATTAAGAAAATGTGGCACCTATACACCATGGAATACTATGCAGCCATAAAAAAGGATGAGTTCCTGTCCTTTGTAGGGACATGGATGCAGCTGGAAACCATCATTCTCAGCAAACTATCGCAAGAACAGAAAAGCAAATACCGCATGTTCTCACTCATAGGTGGGAACTGAACAATGAGATCTCTTGGACACAGGAAGGGGAACATCATACACCGGGTCCTATTGTCGGGAGAGGTAGTGGGGAGGGATAGCATTAGGAGATACACTTAATGTAAATGACGAGTTAATGGGTGCAGCACACCAACATGGCACATGTATACCTATGTAACAAACCTGCACGTTGTACACATGTACCCTAGGACTTAAAGTATAATTAAAAAAAAAAAAAAAAGAGCCCTTACCTGCCGGGAAATCAGGCACAGGTGAAAACCCACTGCAACTGAGGAGGAGAAAAACAACAGGAAGGAACAAGAAAACATCCTGGTTCCAGACTATTAGAGGTCCCAAACTGCTGGAAGAAAGGCAGGAACACTTACATGACAAAAGTTCAAAAAATTCAAAAACAACTGACCTGCCTAAGAATGAGACTGCACCAGAACAAAAGATAGTGCTGCTACTCCTTCTCCCAAGCAGTATCATAAGTATCAATTCCGAGAGGAGTCTGCAGCTAGAAGAATGGAAAGCATGGTGGTGGGTCCTCTAGAGATACTTCACAAAGGAAACACCAAAACCTGAGAATGGAGACATTAACAAAACCTGGCAAACCAGCCCCACCCTACGAACAGAGTAATATAGAGGAACTTGAAGACTATTGTAGCAACAGCAAAACGCAAACCCAGTTAGCTCCAGACTAGATTGAGTCAAACCCTCACACTGCAGTTCACTCTTGAGTAACATGGGTTTCAACTGTGTGGGTTTACTTATACATGGATTTTCTTCTGAGTCTGCCACCAGTAAGACAAGGCAACTCCTTTTCCTCCTCCTCTTCTGCCCACTGTACATGAAGACAATGAAGATGAACACGTGATGATCCACTTAATAAATAGATACATTTTCTCTCCCTTCCGATTTTGTTAAAAATATTTGCTTTCCTCTTGCTTACTTCATTATGAGAATGTCATCTATAATACATATAACATACAAAATATGTGTTCGTCAACTGTTTTTGTTAGCAGTAAGGCTTCCAGTCAATAGTAGGCTATTAATAGTTAAGATTTCAAAAAGTCAAAAGTTATACATGGATTTTTGACTGCATGGGGCCGTCATCACTCCTAACCCCCGTTATTCAAGGGTCAACTGTACAAGTTTAGCAAGCTTAGCCTGATTTCTCATATGGAATGGCTCCTGGGAAAACCTTAGAGATATAGGGACTGTAATCCTTAAAAAGCTCTTCTAAAACTTTATGAGGCTTCTCCCTCACTCAAATGAAATAGAACTGCAGGGACAGCAGACTTCACGCCAAAGTAACAAAATGAGGGCACTAAAGCCAGCATACACACACAAATGTTTCCCAAGTTAATGCAAAGAGTAGGGAATGAAAAGATGAGGGAGATGGGAAGAGAGGAACAACACTGGGCTAATCAGGCACAAGACATCCGCATGACTCAGACCAAGGTGGAAGATGGCAGAAATGGTTGGGGAAGGGGAAGGCTGAGCTATCCAGGGTCCTAGGATGGAAAGTCTGAGAGAGGCAAGATTCTCTGAAGGTTTTAAAGAGGCAGAGTCAGGATCATCCTCCAAATAGTGAGTTAATGAGTGTATTGTATATCCCGGGCTTGCTTCATGGGGCATGCAACCAATGCAGCAGCATAGTTGATGCCCTATGATCATCATCTTTAAACTCTTCATAATTTTATCTTAATGTGTGTTTTATAAATGAAGTCAAATGAGCCAAAAAGAACTTGTGTGAGGGCTTCTCAACTGACATATGGTCTTGGCTCCCATCACTTCACCTCTCCAGCACTGATTCTCCACCATCTGCTCCCCACTGGCTGGGGCCACAGGCAATCCCTGCCTTCCTGTCCACCACCACCCTGCCACTCTCTGCCCATACAGCCATCTGATCTCATCGGCAGAGGAGGCCCCTTCTGCCATCATCTTTCACAAGTACCTTGCTTCTGGCAGGGACACAAGGAGAATAAGATTTGGGGGCATGCATCCCACAGTATCTGCACAGAGCTTGGCTTTAGCCCCATCCCCACCCAGGCTGCACCACAGAGTGTTTTGAGACAGCTCAGGACAACCTGCTATCCCTTGATCCAATAATCAAGTGCATCTCCATACAGTGGTTGCAATTTCATGGTGGTCACCCATCTGTAGAGGGTTGGAGTGGCCACGGTGGGAAGGGGAGACTGACTTCCTCTTCCCAGCAAGAGGAACCCAGCAGCCAGTGGGCAACTTGCATGGGCTCAGAGTCATGGAGTGGGGCCCCCAGGCACCTAAGAGCCCCTGTGTTCACTCTGTGAGTATCCCTGTGCCCAAGGGGTACAACATTAGCAAATTAAACAAATAAACAAAAATAACAAAACAAAACACTATAACAGGTTGAGACAGAGAGAAAGAGACAGAAACTTCAGAAGGAATGAGAAAGTTTTATATTTTAATACTTTTAAAAGCACTCTTATCCTGCCTATTTGAATACAGACCTGCTATGTTCTGAATCTTTGTGTCTTCCCAAAATTCATATGTTGAAATTCTGACCCCTGATGTGATGTTAGTAGGAAGTGGGGCCTTTGGGAGGTGATTAGATTGAGATTGGAGCCCTCATGAATGTGATCAGTTCCCTTATAAGAGACCCAAGAGAGACCACTGACCCCTTCCACTATGTGAGGACACATCCAGAAAGTGTACTCTATGTACCAGAAAGCAAGTCTCCACTAGACACTCAATCTTCCTTGATCTTCCCAGCCTCTATAACTGTGAAAAATAAGTTTATGCTGTTTATAAGCCACCCAGTCTGTGGTATTCTGTTTTAGCAGCCTGAATGGAGAATGAAAGGGCCCCAGATTTTTATTCTTCACAACCCCACAAATTATGTGTCCTGCACCCTTGAGTATGGGGTCAGAAAAGCAAAGAGAAGTCAGTTTACATTTGATAAGGAAAAGAAAGAGAATTAACTAATTGAGAAATGGAGTTCTGGGACCAAAGGTTTGGGAGCTGATCAGAAACACCAGGGGCATAAAAGATGCTAAAGAAGGAAGAAGCGGTAGAAGAGGAAGTTGGGCGCAGATTGGAAAGAGAAGTGGAGCCAAACCACAAGTTTCTCCACCCCAACTTTCTGTGGGCAGAGCTGATCTTTATCAGAGATGCAGGCAGTAGCTGGTGAGAGTCATAGTCCTACTGTGGGTCTGCAACTTTCCCAGCCAACTCCACTCCTGAGTGTGCACTCAGCTATGGTGGGTACAGGGCAGGATCTGAATGAGGGAACGGAAGGGAACAGGGCTTTTTGGAAGCTGTCTGGGGGTGCTGAGAAATTGAGGGTGGGGGCTGAGAAACAGCAGAATGCTAGGCAAAACTCAAGAGATAAGATAGGTAGGGAAGGTGACCAGGATCCGAGAAAATGAAAATAATTAAGAGAGGAGATGGCTATCACTGATCACTGATAATTTTGTGCTCCCTGGACACAGGAAACCCCAGAGAAGAAAACTAGGGTGAATAACATATACCCTGATTGGAACTCAATCAGACAGGTGTCCCAGCTATCCTAGGCAAGTCCAGTATTCTTCCCTTTGCCACCAAACCTTTCCCCAGGATCCACTTTCTTGAATCACTGGTGTTCACGCCAAAAGCATGTTCCTGTTCACTGTAACAGCTCTTACCTGTTGCTCCCCCAAAGCCGAACATGGCTTCTAAATTCTTCCTTCCCCAGTGAAGCTCTCCTCGGAACCCAGATATGAAAGCTCCCCTCCCGACGTGGTCTCACCTCATCTGACTTCCCCCTCTTCACTAACAGAAACCTCAATTTCCTGGCCAAAGAAGCCACTGCCTCTCATAACCACATGCCTTTTCTGGACTTGTCATCTTCCCTCTCACTCTGCTTGAAGTTTTTTCCTTGCCATTCTGGCTTCTGGCAGGTCTCACTTTATCTGCCTGTGTGCTGCTGGCCTCTCACAGCACATCTCTTGCAGTAAAAGGAGCTTTAGACTGAATCAAGATGAACCCCCACATGGAACTCCTGTTGGACATCTTGAATTGGAGAGATCCTTAACACTTTGGCCTCAGTTTCCTTATCTGTAAAATAACTAGATTGAAAGAACTGAATAGTCGCTAATGTCACCATGGCTTAGTCTTTGTGTCTTACCTTGCTCCTGTTCCTTCCCATACATGTGTTCTTCTTCCTCCATCTTTCTCACTCTTCTGTGTCTTCACTGTCATCCTCCCTTAGCCTTTATCTCAGCTCCGAGAGCCTCCTCTTCATTTTCTCATACTTCCTATCCATTCAATTTAACCTCAGTCCCTCCTCCTGGACTCGCTTTCCTAACTAAAGCATTGCCTTGTCACATGACCCTTGGATTTCTGTGTGTAATACATAAAACAGCCAGGGATTCTGCCTGTGGAAAGACAGCACACTACATGACATGAAAAGACATACTAATACAAAACACCCAGAAATGCAAGATTGTTTTAAATAATTTTAAATGCATAAGCTACATTTACAATGAAATAAAGGAAGTCCTCTAAGGGGCAAAGTAAAGAAATGTAAACCTAGAGAGGCAAACAGGATCCATAACTGGACATATTAAGCATTGTCTTGTATAGATCCCTAGGAGTTTGGGTACTGTTAGTCACTTGAATCAGGAAACAAGGCCTTAGGATGAAAAAAAAATGGTAATAAGAGTTGCAACTGAGGCTCCTGCTACATCTTCACTTCAGTGATAGAATGGACGAATAGACTAGAAAAATAAATCCATCCAATTTTATGGATTGGTTTTTCAGTTTTTCTCCTTCTGAGGATTGCTAATCACAGGTCTGAGTTTGAAGTTCAAAAGTATCTACTTGCATGAGCCTGAAATTCACAAGCTAAGAAATTAATTTTAAAAGTAATTCCAGGCTGGGCACAGTGGCTCACGCCTATAATCCCAGCACTTTGGGAGGCCAAGGTGGGTGGATCACTTGAGTTCAGGAGTTTCAGACCAGCCTGGCCAACATGGTGAAACTTCGTCACTACTGAAAAAACAAAATTAAGCCAGGTGTGGTTGCGCACAACTGTAATCTCAGCTACTCAGGAGACCGAGGCACGAGAATGTCTTGAGCCCAGGAGGCGGAGGTTGCTGTGAGCCGAGATCGCACCTCTGCACTCCAGCCTGGGAGACAGAGCAAGGCTCTGTCTCAAAACAAAACAAAACAAACATAATTCCAGGTGTGCCACCTGGTGGAAGTTAAAGCAAAGTTCATCTCAAGAGAACCACCCTCAATACAAGCTGCAAAGGGTATTGCACAAAAAGCCTTTCCTAAGATGAGGTCGCCATCCATAATTAGCACCGGGAGAAAGATTGCATGATGAAGGAAAGTTGGCAGACAGAATAAATAGTTTTGTTTCCCTAAGATATAACATATAGAGGAATTTATATTTTAAAACCTTAAAGTCAAAAGGTTTGAAAAAAGACATTATCAAAAAATACCAAGCATATTTTAAAGCAAACTAAACTTCTAAAAAGATAAACTCTAATTACTATAATTAAAATATCAATAAGTGGATTAAACAACAAAGATAAAAAGCAATTTAAAAATACTTATAAATTGAGAGAGCTGAAGAATTTCCTCTAATGCAATATAGAGATAAAGTGTTGAATATAAAAGAAGTTAAGATATATGAAAATTAGTATGAAATCCAGTATGAGCTCAATAGGAATTTCATTAAAAGACAAAACACATAATTGGAAGAGGAAATACTTAAAGAAAGCATGGCTGAAAATTTTCCAGAAGTAATGAAAGACATGAATGTTTAGATTCAAAAAAGACAAAAGCACCAAAGCAGAATTAGTAAGTTTTTAAAATAATCTTTATTTTTCATAGTGACGAGTAAAACTTAAAGATGTAGATGGCTCAGAACGTAAGACAATAGAAAGCAAAGTTCCTTTTATTCTATTTCAGTCATTATATTTCAATTATAAACAATCAGTTGTCTACAAATATCAAGTGTTATGCTAAACACTTATATTACAAACAGTAGATAGATAAAAACTCAAACTCTACAGAAAGAAACCTGTAAATCAATCATAAATATAAAGTGTGATAATTCTCTCATGAGAGAAAGTATAGGGAAATGAACAAAGCTGATTAAATCTTTCTGCTCCATATTTTCACTGTTTGCATGGCTTTGCGCACTCTGAGCACCAGACTTTTGGCTGCAATAAATTACCCTCTCTGTTTTCTAATATGTATAATCAATTCTGATTCTTTTCTTTAAGCCCAAAAGGAATATTATATTTTCCCCTCCTTTCACATGATTGCAGAAACAGTAACCAAAACCCATGATACTGCTAGATTACTTATTTAAGTAAAGAATTTGAAGAACTATCACCTAAAATAATACTACCCTATTACTAAAATTATGCAATTTTTTTCTTTGTTTCTGTGTTTTGTTATATAGTGTTTATGTTATATAGTGTTTTTGTTTGTTTCTGTGTTTTGTTATATAGTGTTTATGTTTATGGGGCACATGAGGTATTTTAATGCAGACATATAATGTGTAATAATCACCTCAGAGTAAATGGAGTATCCAATACCTCAAGCATTTATGCTTTCTTTGTGTTACAAACAATCCAATTATACTCTTTTATTTTTAAATGTGCAATACATTATTGTTGGCTGTAGTCACCCTGTTGTGCTATCAAATACTAGTTCTTATTCAGTCTACCTAATTATATTTTTGTACCCACTAACAATCTCTACTTTCCCCCACTCCTACGACCATTTCCAGCCTCTAGTGACCATCATTCTACTGTCCATCTCCATAAGCTTAATTGTTTTAACTTTTTAGCTCCCAAAATAAGTGAGAACATACAATGTTTGTCTTTTTGTGTCTGGCTAATTTCTCTTAACATAATGCCCTCCAGTTCCATCTATGTTGTTGCAAATGACAAGATCTCATTTGTTATGGCTGAACAGTACTCCATTATGTATATGTACCACATTTTTTTTTATCCATTCATCTGTTGATGGACATTTAGACTGCTTTCAAATCGTGGCTATTGTGAATAGTGCTACAATAAAAATGGGAATGCAGATATCTCTTCAATATACTGATTTCCTTTCTTTTGGATATATACCTAGCAATGAGATTGCTGAATCATATGGTAGTTCTGTTTTTGGATTTTTGAGGAGCCTCCAAACTGTTCTCCACAGTGGTTGTACTAATTTACATTCCCTCCAACAGTGTCAGAAGGTCCCCTTTTCTCTCCGTTCTTGCTAGCATTTGTTATTGCCTGTCTCTTATATAAAAGCTTCTTTAGCTGGGGTAACATGATATCTCAGTGTACTTTTGATTTGCATTTCTCTGAAGATCGATGATGATGAGCACTTTTTCATATACCTGTTTGCCATGTGTATGCCTTCTTTTGACAAATGTGTATTCAGATATTTTACCCATTTTTAATGGGATTATTATATTTTTTTCCTATTGAGTTGTTCGAGTTCCTTATATATTCTGGTTATTAATCCCTTGTCAGATGGATAGTTTGCAAATATTTTCTCCTATTCTCTGGGTTGTCTCTTCACTTTGCTGTTTCTTTGCTTTGCAGCTTTTTAACCTGGCATTATCCCACTTGTCCATTTTTGCCTGGTTGCCTGTGTTTTGGAGGTATTTTTCTCAAGAAATCTTCACCCAGTCCCGTGTTCTAGGGAGTTTTCCCAGTGTTTTCCTGTAGTAGTTCCATAGTTTGAGATCTTAGATTTAATTCTTCAATCCATTTTGATTTGATCTGTCTGTACGGTGAGAGATACAGGTCTAGTTTCATTCTTTTGCATGTGAATATCCAGTGCTCCCAGCACAATTTACTAAAAGGACTGTCCTTTCCTCAGTGTGTGTTTTTGGCACCTTTGTCAAAAATGCATTCACTGTAGATATATGAATTTATATCTGGGTTCTCCATTCTGTTCCATTGATTTATGTGTTTGTTTTTAGGCCATTGCCATGCTGTTTTGTTTACTATAGCTCTGTAGTATAATTTGAAGTGAGGTAATGTGATTCCTCTAGTTTTGTGCTTTTTGCTAAAGATAGCTTTGGCTTTTCTGCATCTTCTGTGGTATCATATAAATTTTAGGATTATTTTTTCTATTTCTGTGAAGAATGTCATCAGTATTTTAATAGAGATTGCTTTGAATCTGTAGGTTACTTTGGGTAGTATAGATGTTTTAATGGTATTGATTCTTCCATTCCACGAACATGGAATATCTTATTTGTGTGTGTCTACTTTAATTTCTTTCATCAATGTTTTATAGTTTTCATTGTAGAGATCTTTCACTTGTTTGGTTAACTTAATTCCTAGCTATTTTTTAGGAATTTTTTAGCTATTGTAAATGAGATCACCTTCTTGGTTTATATTTCCAATTGTTTTCTGTTGGCATATAGAAATGCTACCGATTTTTGTATGTTGGTTTTAGTATCCTACAACTTCACTGAATTTGTTTATCACTTCTAATCGTTTTTTGGCAAAATTTCTGGATTTTTCCAAATATAAAATCATAGCATTTGCATAAAAAGATAATTGGACTTCTTCCTTTCCAATTTGGATGCTCCTTATTTCCTTCTTTTTTCTGATTGCTTTAGCTAGGACTTTCAGTACTATGCTGAAAAACAGTAGTGAAAATGGGCATCCTTTTCTTGCTCCAGATCTTAGAGGAAAGGCTTTCAGCTTTTTCCTCATTCAGTATGATACTAGTTGTGGGTCTGTCATATATGGCTTTTATTTTGTTGAGGTTTGTTCCTTCTATACACAGTTTTTTGAGGGTTTTTATCGTTAAGGAATCTTGCATTTTATCAAAGACTTTTCCAGCATCAACTGAAATGATCATATGATTTTTGTCCTTCATTCTATTGATATGATTAATGGATCAAACCAATTTATTTGCATATGTTGAATCATCCTTGCATCCCTGGAATAAATCCCACTTGGTAATGATGAATGATCTTTTAACGTGTTGTTGAATTTGGTTTGCTACTATTTTGTTGAGGATTTATGCCTCAATATTCATCAGGGATATTGGCCTGTAGTTGTGTGTGTGTGTGTGTGTGTGTGTGTGTGTGTGTGTGTGTGTCTTGTCTGGTTTTGATATCAGGATAATACTGGCCTCATACAATGAGATTGGAAGTATTCCCTCCCCTTCTATTTTTTGAAAAGTTTAAGTAGGATTGGTATTAGTTCTTCTTTAAATGTTTGGTCAAGCTCAGCAGTGAAGCCATTGGGTCCCAGGATTTTCTGTGCCGTGACTATTTATAATGGCTTCAATCTCATTACTTGTTATTGGTCTGTTCAGGTTTTGGATTTCTTCATGGCTGAGTCTTTTTAGGTTGCATGTGTCCAAGAATTTATCCATTTCTTCTAGGTTTTCCAATTTATTGGCATACAGTTGCTCATAGTGGCCACTAATGAACCTTTGAATTTCTGCATTGTAAGTTGTAATGTCTTCTTTTTCACTCCTGATGTTATTTATTTGGGACTTCTCTCTTTTATCTTAGTTAGGCTATAGCTTTGTTGATTTTGGTTCCTATGCCAATCTCTCCCTCTACCTATTCTATAAGGCCAATTGTACTTAGATTTGTAGTCATTCTAGATCTTGTAGTCATTCTTTATTCTTTTTCTATTTCTTTTTCTTTCGTCTTCTGTGACTGTGTATTTCAAATAGCCTGTATTAAAGCTCACTAATTTTTTTCTGCTTGATTGATTCTACTGTTAAGAGATTCTGATGTGGGCCAGGCACAATGGCTCATGCTTGTGATCACAGCACTTTGGGTGGCTGTGGTGGGAGGATCACTTGAGCCCAGAAGTTTGAGACCAGCCTGGGCAACTTGAGGAAACCACCATCGCTACAAAAACATATTTTAAAAATTATCTGGGCATGGTGGC